CCGACGCGGGCCGGCGCCTCCTGAACGTCCCGAACGTGCGCGAGAGTGGGGACATCCGCGGCGTCTCACCGGCCCGTCGGCATGGAGGTGCGATCCGCGGCAGTGCAGGAAGAGCTGAAAGAGAAGTTGGGGCTCGTGAAGGAGCAGCGGGCCACCGTCGTATCCTTCGAGTTCCACCCCGAAGCTCGCGTGGCCGAGCTCGGGGCTGCGCGCCGTACGCCGCGCGGGGATCGCCGTGGCGCGCGCGTCGTGCCTCGCTTCCGCGCTGTCGCAGGGCCAGACGCTGCGCAGGGGCGTCGCCATCGACTGCGCGAAGGGCGAGGGCGCTGGTCGCGCGGGCGTGTCGGGCGAGCAGCGGTGGCTGCGCCTCTACGTCGCCGCGCCGCCGCGCGCGCGCGAAACGCGCCGATCCCGCGGCCGCCGCCGCGAGAGTTCCAGAGGCGAGGGCCGCCGGCTTCCTTGCGGAAGGCGCTCCTTGATTTCGACGTTAGATCGGAGAGTTCCAGGGCAGTGGCGGAGCAGCTCGCGGCAGAGCTGGGCCTCGTGCTGCCCCCCCGCCTGAGCGCTGCGGCGCCCTGCTCGGAGCCCGCGGCGCTGTCTCAGCGGCTTGGTCGCGCGCGCCAGCGGTTCGCGGGGTTGTCCCGACGGCCTGGCCCGCGGGGATGTCCCTGGCGGCTGCGCGATTTCGCCTCGCCGTCGGCGAACGCGCCCCTGCAAGGCGCGGCGGCGAGGGCGCCGAGGAAAATCTACGCGCGCGCCCCTGCCAGGAGGAAGGAAAAGTGCAGGAGGAAAACGAGCGGGGCGGGGCGGCGATGGTGAGGGGGGGATGAGGCGGAGGTGGAGGAGGGCAGGGCAATGGCCGACGAAGGGGGAGGAACATGAGGAGGGGGGGGGGGAAGTGGAGGAGGCGGAGGAGGAGGGGGAAGTGGAGGCGGAGAAGGAAGAGGATGAGACATGCAACGAGTAGGGCGAGAAGGAACAGGAGGAGGGAGGAGGGGGAGGAGGAGGGGGAGGAGGAAGAGGAGGAGGAGGAGGAGGAGGAGGAAAAGGGGGAGGAGGAGGATGACGGAGAGGGCGGAAGGAAACCTCCTCCAGACGAAGAACAAAAAGGCGAGGGGCAAGCTAAATCGATTCTCGTGCGGGGTCCTACCGTCGGAGTATTTGGTTGTCGCTTTTTGCCTTCCTCGGGGAGCACGCGCGCGCGAATGACTGTAACACATCCCACGGTACCAGATAACAAACACTGGATGCGTAGCAGGTTCGGCAGGCATCCTGACAAACTATACTTCTTTTGTCGAGTGAGACCTGGTCAAACGTCTTTTCGCACGGCTTGGTGTGTTGGTCAGGTCGTTTCGTTTGGTCCGAGTTGTGTTATGTTGATGTTGCCGTTGATGGCAAACCAAGTCGGGGGCCGATTTATGGCCACCGCTCCACCCGCGCACCTTGTGCCAGACCAGCTTGTTTGCGAGGGTTGTCACCGACATCGTGTCCCCTAGGGATGCCGTTCTCGTGCACAATTTCCGCTCCATCGTCCTGTGCCGGACCAGCTTGTTTGATGGGGTGGTGTATACAACTCGTGCTCCCACGAGAACATCTGGACGGAAGAGGAGTAGGCAGAGAAAGAAAAAACGAGGCTCGAGAAGGGGAGGATGAGGGTGAGGAAAGGAGGGGTATGAGGGTGACTGAGATGTCGGTTGTGGCTGTGATGAGAAGGACAACAAGGAAGGCTGACGCGGAGGATTCAGAGTGTGTGTGTGTGTGTGTGTGGGTGGGGGTGGGGGGGGTGGGGGCGGGGGTCGAGGAGGGGGAAAGGGAGGAGGAGGAGCGGAAAACGGAAGAGGAACGACAACACAAACTCACTCATTATCATTTTTGCCAGTCCCCGTTGTTTGTATGCCATTCAGTCTTCGATATTGGCTCTTTTCGTTTTCCATCGTGCCCTGTTTGGGAGGTATATTTCCCTCGCCTGCCATGTGTAGTGTGTGCAGCCCCAACAAGTAAAATATCAGGGAGAAAACAACAACAAAAACAATGGAGGAGAGAATCCGTAGCCATTTTGGCTCAAGCTGTTTCAGGGACTGGCAACCCGACGAGCGAGCACGCGACAAGACCGGGCTTCGAACTCGATGGCGGGGCTGCGGCACGCCGCGGCACTGGCGCTCGGTGCGCTGGGCGTCGGCGCCCTGTGGCGGCTGGCCCTGGCGCAGCCCGAGGAGGCCTGCCCGTCGGGCAGCTGCGCCGCCGACGACCCGGCGCTGCTGCAGAAGCAGGCCCGGGCGTCGACGCGCCAGGCCATCCACGCAGGGCTTGACGCCCCGCTGGGGCAGGCAGCGGCCCAGCCGGGGCCGGCGCCGCCCGTGCCGGACGGATGGGAGCCCTGCCCCGGCTTGCTCTACGGCACCCCGAACACCTCGTTCGCGAAGGCCCCCAGCGAGGAAGAGTTCGTGGCCGCTCTCGCCGAGCTCGACCTCACGGCCGTCATGGACGACATGACCCAGCTGATGACGGACTCGCAGTCCTGCTGGCCGGGCGACTGGGGAAGCTACGTCGGG